ATGTAAATACAATTTTAATAATTCTAATGCGATTAGAAAGATGAATTTAATTAATTAAAATATTTATCTTTCATAAAAAGGGTATTTTATTTTTATATACTCTCATATTACAAATGATATTTTTCTCTAATTATTATTGAAAATATTATTGAAAATAATTAAAATATAAAATGGTGAAAAGTATTTTCATCAATCACTTAAAGACTATCACGCAGAAAAAAAGTTGCAATATTCAAAATTCAAAACGAGATTGTAATTTGAAATTCGTCATCAATATTGACATCCAACAGAATTGGAAAGAAATGTTATCCAAAAGGAATGAGTAATTTCACGAAATCTCACATAATTTCGACAACAATGGCCGATCCAGTGTTTTCACTGTTATTATTTTTGGCATAAACCACGACCGCGTAATAATAGCATATTCGTAGCTTTGCGAATTTATTTGTCCCTGATATTTTTCTTGGTAAAGTTCGCGCAAGTGGGACGCGCGTTTTTCTTTAAACTTCGACGGTGGAATGAAAATAAACGCCACGCTTTTGCGTCTAATTGTTTTCAACGCTTAGCCCAACGCTTCTTCCGCGCCATTTGTCTTTCACACGAGTGTTGAACGTTATAGAAAACTTGGATGCTCGGAATTTGCGGAATTTATGGAATTCGCATTATGCGCTGCAACCACTTTGAGAGTTGCTTCGGTTTATCTTAATTATCCAACACGAAAAAAGGACAACGATTGATAATATCGGATATATCTACTTAGTGTTAAAATCTACACAAATGAATCTGGAAATAGTATCAATATAATTCCACCACTTTCTCTTTACACGTTTTATATTAATATTAAAAGTATAAATTCGCTAATAAAAATGAGAATTTTTAATAGTGCATTTTGCAATCCTGTATTATATGAAGAAACGAAACTTTTTATAATACTTAATAAAATTGAATTAGGGAGAAGAATTTTCTTGAACTTCTTTGAGAACATACAATTATTTTTATTATTAAGAAACAATTTCTTAAGAAACAACATCAAAAAGAAAGTGAATCGCAAGCATGGGAATCCACCAATCTTAAAAATTCACTCCCCTAACTCCCCTAAATCCCCCCCTCCGTACGATCAATCAAACCGCTCCTCCAAAACCCTCCAAATCTCGTTAAAACCTTACATCGGCCTATCTCGCTCTAAAACTCGCGTACCTTACAACAGAACATCTTGTCCACCCTTTGAAAACAATGTCCTGGCCGAGCAAGCCTGTCCTGTCCTTCCCCGTGCGCCAATAAAAAGCCGCGCGACCGACATGTTAGTAGCAACGCTTTTATTACCGCCTTTACGACGCTTTTCGTGGCCCCTCTCTGATCCACCACGCTTGAAAAAAAAAAAAAAAAAAAAAAAAAANNNNAAAAAAAAAAAAAAAAAAAAAAAAAAAAAAAAAGAACGCTTCGTACCGGAATTTCGACCAACCCCTCCCCTCCCCCCTACACCACCCACCCGGGCATATTTTATTTACGATGTCCTGCATTATCATCGGTCGGAACGCGCGCGCCATTGTGGGGTCCTCTACGTGCGCGCGTTATTGCTCGGAGAAAGAGAAAGAGAAGGACAGAGAGAGAGAGAGAGAGAGAGAGAGAGAGAGAGAGAAACACATAGCGAAGAAATTTATGCGTGGGCGAAACGAGCAACCGAACCGCACAAAGTGGACGTATCTCGCCTCGCCTCGAATTAATAAACAGCAACAAATGACCGCCTACGTCCGCCCCTTTCTCCGTCGCCGATTTCATCGTTCTGGTAGTCGATCCGTAAAAGATCCTCCCTCCCCACCTCCTCCCCCTTCTCCACCGCCATCCTCGCGTCTCGCTTCCGCGACTTTGCCTCGGTCTCTCTCTCTCTCTCTCTCTCTTTCACGCTCTCCCTTTCTCTGTCTCTTTAGAGAAGAGAGAGTCGAGACTCGGGTAGAGAGAACCTCCTTTTCCGTCATTCTAGCGCCTTCTTCTCAGTTCTTACCCGATCCTGGACCGCCCGCGGTGACCCTCCGTGTGGAGGCCCCCGAGGCCTCCGTGGATCATTCGCGCGACGATCGTTACCGATCGCTGGATTTGTCGTTACGTTCGCCTTCGGATCTATTTTCGGTGGGATGTTCAGGGGGAAGGGAGGGGGAGGAGGGGGAGAGATTGTGCAGGTTCGAGGATTTGGGAGTCGAGATCGATTCGAGGAAGGATTCGTTATGCAATTCGAGAGAGAGAGAGAGAGAGAGAGAGAGAGTTTCAATTTTTAGGATTTTTCGTTTATTTGGAAATTTATTTGGGAGTGATTGCATAAGTTGTGGAATTTACTAGGAAATTTTGGAATTTGGGAATTGTTTAGGTGCAAATTTAAATTTCACGAAGAGTTAAGTTACGAGAAAGGAATGATTAATAAGTGTTAATTTTTGGTAGCTGGTGGAGAATTTTTTTTCATAATTTGGTATACATATGACTTTGAATAATCAAGATAAGTACGAAACGTTTGAGATTGAACGAATGAATTTATTGTATAAATATCTTTCGCTTCCTTTTGAACAGGAAATAGAACAAGAAACTTTTCAAATCAACGAAGAATGAATAACCCGAATTCGAATATAATTGAAACGAGCATTTGAAATTCTACGATTCCCAACATTAATTAAAATATCTATAATATTAATTGATATATTTTCTCTTCTCCTAAAATTAAATCAATCCTTTTATTCGCAAAAATGTATATATATATATATATATATATACGCGATAATACAATCTTAGGCGTCTCGAAGTCAACGTCAAATACTCAAGAATCTGAAACTTGAGATATAACACCTCTGAACGGCGAAACATTCCACCGATCCCAAATAAAATAACCCGTTCTACATATTCGATAACAGCGAAACGCAAACATCTAGATGAGAGGCATCCCAGGAACGAATTACCTGTTCTACGTCGCGCGTACCTACGTGTCTCGTATCTGACAAATTAATATCCTACTCGCGGAGGAACGCGGCAACGCGGCCTTTATTATCAGAGTCTCGATCGAGCGCCGTCGAATTAATTTCGGTAGCACCTGTATCGATTATAAACCCGTGCTCTTTTTCTCCGTCTGCCCGTTGCCACGCTCGGGGGCAACATTAAAAATAACCGGCCCCTCGCGCAACCAGCCACCCACGTACAACCCGGTCTCACGTTACGATCCCGTATCTCTTTTAACACGGTAGGGATATCGTGCGGAATTTTTCGAATTTTCAACTAGCGACGTCGCTTTTGACGAAAATAACCGCCTCTCCGCCTTTCCTTTCTCTCTCTAACAAGTGGCGCTCAAATCGCCAATTTATTAAAAACATCTCTCTCTCTCCTTCGAGAGAAAAGTTGTACGATCTTAAACAACGAATGGAATCGAGGAAACGAGAGACTTCCTTTAACATATCGATCGGTCAGATTTTCGCGATTTTCCAACAATTTTCGAAAAATTCTTAAACGCTCCTGCCGGTACCAATGGCAGAGGGAGAAAAAATGAAAATACGAAAGGAGATAATTTCCTGGCGGCCAGTCGATCGAGCCATTCCAAACGGAGACGATATATAACGAGATCGGTGCCCGGAGGTTGCTTCCATACCCGCGGAGAAGACGTCGATGGTTATTATGAGCAACACCATGGGGAGACCATGGGTAATATACCCGGCGCGTTGCTGTAGGTCCGCCGCCAGTCTCCTCGCGTATGGTGGACGCTCTCCTAACGGCTGTAAAAAATGATTCTCGCGGCGAAAGACATGCAAATTTATGAACGCTCCCGAGGCCCCTCCCTCTCGGACGCATTGTCGCGCTTAACAATTAATTAACGTCGCTTTAATTGCGCTCTCCACACTCCCCCCTCTCGCCTGTTCGACACAGTTGTTCGCGGCTGTTACCTTTCGGGCCCCACGCAGGAGTGCAACGGCCCCCTCCCCCCCCCCCCCTTTTGTCTTTGCTTCGGCCCAACGAAATTATGCCGATCCGGGCGTGTGTGTGCCGTTGTTCGTCGCATTGTCGCTCCCCTCGTCGTGGTGGCGTAGCCCAAGGTGAACGGTTTTCGGGACCCCCATTGTCTCCCACCGCTTTGTGAACCGGTGGTGTTTGCTGACGCGGCCTATTGTCGGGCTGATTGATAATTGTTTTTTTAATTAGATCCCTTGGGGAGGCTCGCTCGTTTCCGACTGAATCGTTCCGCGTGTCGAATGATGCGCGGAGGAACTTTGGAGTTTTTGGAGGCTGAAAGGATAAATTATGGGGTTTCTTGAGGTATTTGAGAATTATTTAGTAGGCGAAACTAGGTTGTTCGCAACGATATTTAAATTAATGAACAGATAATACTCTTGACAGATAGAGATATACATCTTTTTAAATTTTTAACCAATCTGCGCTCGTGCAGATACGAAAAGCGTATAAAAAGAAGAATATTAAGGGTTTTATTAAAACCCATTATTTTAACGAGTCTTGTATTTCAAGTATTCTTACGTGTAATAAACTATCGACGTAATATCGAAACAAATGACAGTGGTCCAACCTCGCAAAACATAAATACAAAATTATTCGTATCAAAATGTTGTATCACAAAAAAAAAAAAAATCACCAGAGTTTAACAACCAAATTCAGCACACAATCCCATCGTTAAAAATTGGCACACGCCAAAAGTGCTCTAACCAAATTGCACACCATTCTTAATAAAACGACAATCTCGTCATCCAAAAGATTATCCAAGGAAACAACTCGAAGGATGATCGTTCCTCGCCTGCAGCAAGCAAATTTTTTCCCCTCCCGTTATCACGGCCCAGGATCACGCTGGATGATCATCGAGACGCGATCTTTGAGCTTTCGGATCCCACTCGATGGATTCACACCTGCGAGATACGAGCATTAACCGTTCGCTCGTTCGTTCGTTATGTTTTTTTCTTTTTTTTTCTCTATGCCTCTGCGTGCACGTGTGCTCAACGTACGCTCGTATCTTTCTGTTGCAGGGGAACGTAGGGGAACGGAAGGAGCGTAGATGAGTTCTGCTGTCCGCGTCCCCGGTAAGTCGTGAACGTAAGGGAATGTAAAGAGCGTATAAAACGTCTCGCGATACTTATTACGCGGCTGGCATTGTCGTAACCGAGAAGTTCCATTTAACCGAGTCCATGCCTTTATAAACGTCACCCCTGTGACGTTAGATTACCATCCTTTTGGGGTGGTCCTAGGTGTTAATTTTAAATGAGTAATTAATTTGAAATAGGAATAACGTTGTATAATCGAAATTGAAATACGAAGAAGAAAATATATTTCTTTACGTGAATAGAATGGAATTGAATATTGTGATATCGATTTGTTTGTTGAAAATGATACGTAAACGCAGTTCTTTCTTATTTTTTATTTTAAATGACGTTAATTATTAAGTTTTCAAACTTTCTGCACGGATACTCTTCTTTCGATCAATTTAATTATTTGTATAAATCGATATCCTGAAGTTTTTTGAAAAGTAGATTGATAATGATTAGAGAAATAATTGTGATAATAATAGTTTGATAAATATTCTAAGAACAACTTTTAATAAAGCTTGTAGTAATTATTTTATGACTCTTTTCGAGATTGTTTCGATAAGAATGACACGTAGAATTAATGATATTGTTTTTTGGAATGCTGCTAAATGCACTATAGTTACGCGTTTTCTACGCCTACGTATATTATAATGTATCGTGCTAGTAGAAAGGCGGACTTTAAGATATGTGCAAATGAATTTTTATTCGAATAAATTATTTTAAAGACAGGAAATTTACTTTAGGTACTGCGTAAATTTCAAAAAATATATTATAATAACTATTATTTTCTTTGCAAGATGGAAAATTAAATCATTTTTTCTAATTTTTAAGAGAAAACTTTGATAAGCCAATTTTCTAATTTCACAAGAAAATGATTTAAAATTGGATTGTGTTATTCCCTTAACCAAACTTAACCTATAATTAAAATATCTTTTTAATTATTATCGAGTGTAATCAAATTGATTCATTGATTTATTAATCTCGTAAACTTAAAAAAAATTCAATATTCTCAACCTTTCTAATAATTGAACATTATTGATACAACGTTTACAACTATCGTACGAAGATATCACAGATAAAAACAACTAATTCCATTACGTTAAAAATCGTTACAAATTCCGTGACATTCTCCAACCAAAACCTCTCTCAAACCCTCTAACCCAACCAATAAAATTCCTTCGTCAAAAAAGTCTCTCGAACAACCTATAAAACCTATAAAACTCCTCCTCCACTGAAAATCTCAAAAAAAAAAAGACCACCAATAACCCTCGTTCAAAAATCCGTCAAAACTTTAAACTCAGCCAAATCAGACCACATCTTTTCCAAGGGACACGACAAAAACCTGTCGTCCACCCATCAACCGTCCCGTATCGCTGAACCACAAGAAATACAGACGCGATACGGGAGGATGTGGGAGAAAATACCTCAACTCCTCAGCGAGGGACAGGCGGGGAGGGGAGGGAGAGGAGAAGGCAGGACTACCTCTTCTTCCCCATAAATACGGATTTAGTCGCGCGGTTTACGAGCGAAAACGTGTCGCGAGGCTCGCGAGGAGCTGGCCGCGCCTAAATTATTAAAGTCGTAAACGATCGAAATCGTCGTTAAGAGGCGCGCGAAGAAACCCATCCCGTGGCTGCCCCCACGGCCACGATCATTTTTACCCCCTCCCCCTCCTCGCGATTTCATTGTGTTCGGGAACACCGTTTCCCCCGTTTCGTTGTCGCGGACAATAAACGGGCTTACCCCCGTTCCGTGTACACCTCCCCTCTCCTCCCCCTCCCCCCTCCCCCGAGGCAGAGCCTGTTCCCTTACCGACGGAATCGCGTGGAAGCGTTGGTCGGTAGATCAGGCTGGAGGGAAGGTTATTGGCATCGGTAATCTCGAATGGCTCGAGTAATATCGCTCGATGAGTTGTTAACGCGAGGCGTTACGCGAGGTGAAATATATTCGTACGTCGAAAATGCGCCGATTTATCGCCGAGTGGAGGTGGCTTTTGTCATGGTCGAAGAAAGAGGGAGAGAGAGAGAGAGAGTGTTTTGTTGTCGGTTGTTAGTCATTCGTGACGGATGTTATTTGTATGTGTAACGAGGGAAAAATCTGGCATGCGTTGTACGCGGTTTGGGATTGTATTGAGATGTGGATATTTGTTATTATTATGATATTGATATTATTGTGTTTTGTAATGGTTAGAGGCAGTTTTTTTGTTTTTTTTTTTTTGTGCGTGTTTTTCTTTAATGAGAAATTGAAAATGATGAGAGAGAGAGAGTTTGTTTGCGATGGTGTTAAGGTTAGGTTAGGTTTGGAAATAAATTAAACGAAGAAATGGGGTGGCTTTTTATGAATTTTCACGATGATTCAACGATAAAATAGAACAAATCGTAGATATTCGTGTAATGTAACGTTTATGTAGCGTTATAAATTCTGTCTGCTTTGACACAGTAACTCCTTAATATTATGGATACTTTAAAAGCAGAATGCTATTACGTGCAGATTTAGTTCATGGAATATGGAATATGGACGATCTTAAAATTACTATAATTATCTTCTTAGCTTTCGAACGTGATCCACTTTTTTCTTTTATTTATTTATTTCTCTATTTTCGAACGATTAATTTAGAAGGATGAGTAGGAGACGTTTCGATTACAAGGATAAATAATAATCTCTAAAAACTGTGTCTCATATACTTCTATTTAAAGAAAAAACTTTTTCATATTACGTATATAAAAATATAAAACAATTTTCCTTTTTAAAATTAATATTTTAAGATGAAAAAAAGTTTAATAATGCATATTAATTTAATCAAGTAATATTATTGAGTACATGGATAATTTAGATACAATTTATAGATTATAAAACCTCTTTTTAAAATTGCATATTTAATTTTACTTGGAACATGACTTAGCACTTTTTAAATTTATTTGTAACGATTAATTTGTTTTATTATTAAACTTATCATTGTTACGTAAGGAAACGTGTTTTCTAACTTATGACTTGAGAAAATTCACTAGATAATTACACTAATTAATTCAATTGTGCCATCTCCTCCAATTCTATACAAATCGTTCGACAAAACGAATCATATCTTGATGAATTAAAATTTTATATGCAATAATCGATGAAATGAACGAGTGACAAAGATTACGAAAACTTAATAATAACCGATTATTATTCCATTTCTTCTGCATTACACACACCATAATTCTCTATTCCTCTTGACCACTCCCTCTCCGTTCCTCGATGTCTCCTTATTTAATTCATTAATTCGAGCCTCAAGGAAACAAGTGCATCGTTTCTCAGAAATAAATATCCCCTTACAATGTCGCCGTAATGAAAGCAATTTCGTACAATCTTGTACGTAATTCCGTGTAATTTTCTGGCTGTGCGATTTTTCCTTTTCTTTTCTTCTCTCCTTTTTTTTTTTTTTCCTTTTTTTCTTTCTTTCTTTTTTTTTCTTTCTTTCTTTTTTTTCTTCTTCTTCCCCGCCCGTGGAATTTAGAGCACCGTTTATGGAAATTAAGAGGATTAAGGTTGCCACAGTGGAACAGTTAATGATCTCGACAGCTACTCGCGTTTTTTGCACGCCGATAAGATTTTAATCGCGTTGATCCTCCTAGTAGGAAACGAGCAAAACGTTTCGAGCCTCTTCTACTAATTAACATCGTGCCGCGTGTAATTTTCTCGCTCGGCTCGAAATACCGACTGTATCAAAATAGCGGTTAGCACGGTTAATTGATCGATGGAATTCGTGAAAAATCAGGGCAGAGGCGTATGTAAATACAGGTTCGGGGGATAAGCATTTAGCAATAATTCACGAAATTTTCTCCTTGATACGCTTTCTTGAGAAAATGTAAATGCTTCGTTTCTTAAATGTACAGTGTCTTTATTTCAATCAGAAGTTTCAAATTAATATACGTGTATTTTTAAAGGATATAATTTCCAAATAATATAGAATTTAAATAATAATAGAATTATTATAATATAATTAAATAATTAAATTAATATAATAGAATTTTCTAAAAAATATAGTTTTATTTTATATGTACGTAGTAGTAATTTCTTTTCTCTTTAATTTTACTTAAGAGGAGGAAATTCTTCTTATTTTAGAAGAAGAAGAATTGTATATGGTCTATTGATGAAACTTTTTTAAACTGCACAGAATTCTTCTACTCTGACTAATTTAATAATAGACGTATATGTTAGAAAATATGTTAGACTTAGTCTGTAAATAAAATATACGAAATATTATTAAAAAAGTTAATGGAACGAAAATATGAATTTATAATTAAATTATAATTGAATGATATTCTGATATATCTTTTGGTTATAAAATAGTTTTATTTAATTTAGTGAATTGGTTGTCAGAAGAGAAAAAAAAGTAATTTTCTGCACAATATTTTTCGATTATAAATAATCGAATAAGCGATGTCGAGGAAGAATGAGATATTGGAAATGTTATAACCTCCTCCGTGTAGTATTATTAGCCAAACGTAGGTAGCACACTTAATATATTCTGTCTATCTGATCGAAACGCTTTAATTGCGTGGCGATTATCTGCCATTATCGAGTGACTAATGCCAGTTTTGTTGCTTAAAACGCCAATTTACGTAATCAACTTGGAGTCGAGCGTTCATTAGAGACGGAAGTCAATAATGACGTAAAAGGAACGAGCAAATTTAGACAGGACAAGTATAATTATCGTGTTAATGAAGCGTACTCCACTCGATATAGGAAGAGGATCTACAATTTTATAAATAAAATTCAATTATTTCGAGATTTTCAAATTTTCTTCTTCCCATCGATCTTCTCATCGATCGTGAAATAAAAGAAAGTAACACGTTCATCTTCGAATTAATTATTATTCGATTTTAATATTAATATATAAAGAAATATTTCTTATCAGCATTAAATTAAAAATGCAAGCGTATTTATTTAAATGAATATCTTGGCAAACTAAAGAATTTAATTAAAATTCGTATTTTGGATTAAATATTTTATTG